ACTTATCTGCTTTCCTTCAAATGATCTAATTTTACATGAGCTGAATGGTGCCACAGAAACAACAAGTTCAAATTTTACCTCTCGAAAAGAAGAGGGTCGTGGGAAGGGGGGGGGGAGTTCAAAACGAAAAATGAATGAAAGTGGTATCTACAGGAGAAAATTTAGGAGATTGGAACCTCTGAGCTCGACAAGGCGCTTGCCCGACTAAAAATCCCTGAAGTTCGCCCCTTAAAGTTCGCCGCTTGCAAAAGCACGGAGCTGATATTCAGAAACCTCGTCAAGAAACGCGTTCCTCAGACTTCTTCACAAAAGCCCAGCTTCGAGTCAACAGATCCACGTTGATGATTGATTCCAAAATGCCCCCCCCCCCGGTCAGGCGCGGGGAAGGGGATAGGTAGTGATGCTCAGCGAAGAGTGTTTGATTTACGATGACGTCACAGCGGCGGTGGCGAAAGTACCGGTTAATTGTAGGCGACGTTGTCGGGCAACCGGAAAAGTCCCGGGCGAGAGGGTCACGAATTTAGGGACGGAGCCGAAATCTCGATCTTCAGCGCCCGAGTTTCGTCGATAAACAAAAACAAGACCTGATGCCCCTGATGGTGATAGATGTAATTAAAGGCTCCATCGGCGCGGAGGGGGTGGCGCGGTGGGAGGCGGCGGGGGCAGCGGGGAGGGGGCGGGGGTGAAAAGAGCTGAGTTATATTGGTCAGCAAAATATTATGTAAAGTTGATTTATGAGTTGCGAGTTGGTGGCGCGCGGGTTGCCTAGCCTGGCATGACCAGGCGTAAATCCGTCTTGACGCGTCCGCGGTTCCGCGCCGCGCTGTCTGAGCTCGCCGTCGCCGGGTCGCCGGGCCGAAATTTAATGAAATCGATGGTATGCAAACAGCGAGACGCCCGCTCTATCGCGCCGGCCACTACTTGGCGATCGCCGCGCCCCGTGCGGGGTGCTGCGGCAACGGGAGAGAGGAGTCAATGCCTCCCTTGCTATCCCTTCGATACGTCTCAGGGATTCCGTGGCCTCGCCGGAACATGGACATTGGACATCATGAAGGGTCCTTATGGTCTTTCTTTTCTCTGGTCTCTTTCCTCAGGAGACCATATGAGGAGCTTGGAGGACAAGGCGCATAAGTGCAGTTTTTGGAAAAATTGAGATAGTCATTATTTCGAGCAAAACTAGTCTTAACGCATATTCTGTGAAAAATTCTCTCCACAATTCCAATTTTCAAGCATCGAAATGTCAGTTTGAACTGTCCTCCCGCCATACGGACCCATCTCATTTCGAAACTACAAACACGTATTTCTCGAGGTAGCAAAAACTGCACTTATGCGCCTTGTCCTCCAAGCCCCCTATGTATATTGTTCATTTTGCAAAAGGTAGGTTTAAAAAGGCCTTAAATTGAGCATCATATAACAATCATTTTTAACGGACTTTCAGATAAAATTCAATAGTAGGTACTTACACCTTTCAGAAATGGATCCTTGAAAGCCAAAGAAATTATTCGCCTCTGCAAAAAATACGAAGAATAGAAAATTCTATGATCGTGATAAATAATCAGATAAGTACGGACTCACCTTAAAATTTGCAAAACCAGTGATATTTTTTGTAATATCTTGTATTAATATCTTGTCTTTTGTAGAAGTGTAGCACTGTAATCCCTTGTAAGATCCTATTTCAACAGCAGCACTGTTGAATCTTACTTAGAAGTTCGTACAAATTGTCCTTTCTAAAATGATCCAGTATGGGTTTCGTTAAACCTTCCTTAGTCACAATAGGATCTCCTTTACAGTGTTCGAAACTCACAGGCGCCAACGCGCCGAATGCGCCTAAATAATCGGCTATGGCGCCTAAAATATGAAGCCTCTGCGCCAACGTGGCCCCTAAAAATTGCGAATTTTAGATAGGTACTTTTTTGAAATAATTTCAAACTGGTCTTAAATGGAAATAACTTATAGACTTAACATGACAAAAATCACTCCTCCGAAAATTTTACCTCATCGTGGGAAGGTCCTTTTTCCAGTAGATGGCCACATATATGGATAACAGTCACGCATGGGGAAGGAGGCGTGAATGATCGATAATCGATGCTTCCCCAATTGAAGCTATGGTAAAGAATCGATTATTAAGGTGTTCGTTGCAAACACCTTGCCTGTCGACCCTGTTCCATGGGTTTAAATGGCAGGTCAATCGATACATCGCAAAGTACGCCACTCCATTGACAGTCACTAGTATTCTCCTGGAGAGCCTCCGTTGGAGAGGCTAAACACACGATTAAGGTACTTTTTCGAAATCAGTGGCAGAAAGGGGAGCCCATTTATCCATCAAAGGCTGAGGGCGGTTAGGTCACAAGTCAGTTGAGGATGTTAAAGTGTCTTTACAGAAAAATAATGTCCCTTGACCCTTCGCGTGGACCTGCCCTGGGGACTCTCACAGGTTCGAGACCGGAGACGCAGCCACGCGGTAAAATAAATTTCTAACAAAGGAAAATTCTGCCTCTGAATCGTCACTATTAAATTTGGCAACGAAACTTACAAGGCTATTCTTAATTTTGTTTCCTATCGACAACCATGCAAAATTCAATTTTTTTTTGTTAAGTATCCTCGGTAAATTTTTCAGTAAAAGTTGCTATTTCGACCTTAAAAATAGAATATGGATTTTTTATCAACAGGAAAAGTCACAAATTTAACAAAAAAAAAAAAAAAAAAAAAAAAAAAAAAAACCAGCCAAAACGGCAGAGGACGCCAGACCAGTAGAAAATGGATATAAACTGGAACGTCTTAATTTGCAAGTCGATTATTTTTAGCTTTGAAGACCATATGCTAGTGAGATTTGATTTTAAATGACGATAATTCAAATCGCACAGGAGGTTTTATCATATGCGCACTTACCTCGGTGAAATTTGGTTGCAGGCCATTCACATATAGATCACATTTTTGAAAACCTATTCCAGCGATGAGAAGATTAATAAAAGAGTAAATATGAAATTGCAGTTCACAATTATATATCAAGACCGGTTACTTACAATTTGGAGTGAGGAAAAATTTTCATTTATTCATTCACCATACAATGATAAATTTCTTAAATATTGAATGTCTCTATGAATGAATGAGTATTTAGAAAGGAGGACAATACATAGCTAAGGTGAGTAATACACATACTAATTATAATAAAACTCTGAAAAAATATTTTATCAAATTTTGCTTCTCTGTACAGCTATACAAACATGTAATATTGATCAGAATAATGATACTTTTTCTAATTTATAAGGAGTTCTTAGTTTTTATTCTTGTGAAGGAGTAGAGTGACGTGCGACACAAATAAAGAGCGAGAGAGAATAGGAATTTAGATGTTTTAAAATGCGTTGATGTGTTGCGTGTTGCAACGTATTAAGATACGTTGGGAAAATTGTTGACATCCTCTTGCAAATTCAATTAAATATTCCCCGCATATTATTTCTTGCGTAAAAAAAGGTCACAATTTTGAAGAGGTTTCCAGCATCCACACTACACAACATTTCCAGTTGACAGATGAACAACTTCAAGCTATTTGGAACGTTGCATGATGTTCAGTACGTTCCAAATCCTCTCTAATCGTAAAATGTGCATTATGTAGGTATCTGAGGGTTCAATTGATTCTTCGTTGTTAGTAGCATTTCTCTAAACACTCTTGATTGAACGATAAACACATTTTCTAGATCATTGACTTCCATCACAAGACATTAAAGCAATAGAGCCATTTTATAAAAATGTTTTGCTTATTTAAATTCAAATTTTAAAGTCTACAGATGTCAAGAAGTCATTTTGCATTCATGCCTCTTTACACTCTTTCCTCGGTAAAAAGAATATAAGAGTGCTCAAAAAATGAAAAAACCACAAAAAAAAACAAATAAAACGAGAGAAACTGCGGCATGTAGTAAGAGCGTTACATTTCAATTAGAACAATGTGAGGTGCCTCCAGCTAAAGACCACAGTTGATTCTCCAATACATCGAATTAGGTCCATCCGATAACAATGCCTTTGAATGTTACCAAATGGAATCAATCTATGTACATTGCTCTTTTGTTACGTAACATCAACAGCGTCTACAGCGAAGTATGGAATACAACTATACAACCTCAGAGGATGTGCGTGATGTATATACAACAATATTGAGGGCGTTGCGGTTATCTTTGTTCCGAGCAGCGATGCGCACATCGCACCTTCACGAATCACGTATGAGATATCCTCATCATGTGAGTGAAGAATACAGCTTGATGCACCTCTACCTTATTACAGCGTGTAAAGATGCTGCACGTACACAGCTCCCCGGAAAAGGTTCCCGTTTCGCCTTCAATTATGAGTGCATGCAACACGGACATCCCCCGAACACGAGTAGTTGCACCTAGACGCCGTCAGTGCGTCGCAGACGTCGTTGGTGCATGCTTATCTTAACGCCACACAATGAAACGAGGCAATGAGAAAAGTCGGCAAAATGTTAAACCTTTAAAGGTCCATAACTCCATTATTACAAAACGTGGAGGTCTTAAAAGCGGTAGCATTGGTTTTCTCTTAAAATTTACTAGAGGAAGCACCCCTCAAATTTTAAAATCTCACGAAGTGAGGATCCAGATTTGCAGTTTTAGTCAACAAATCATTTGACCGCGTTTAACAGAGAGGAACCAGGCCACATCAGCTACTGCCAAATTTAACTGGGCAATGTAATTTTTTACGGAAGAACTTTGGTGCGAATTCCTTTTAAAATGTTAAGGACTTTGCTTCGGACTGAGGGGAAAATTCACTGAAATTTGCTAGAAAATCCGCACAACCGTTTACATGTAAAAAAATAAAGTGCCCAATTAAATTTCGCGATAGCTCATGTGGCTTGGTTCCTTTCTGTTTAACGTGGTCCAATTGGACTGCATTTTGCAATTTGGAAGTATAAAGTCGGGCCCGGTTTAAGAACAACGTATGTGCCATTAGTTTTCCTATGCACATAAGTGTTATTTAAGATATGCCAGAATTTATAGTTCCAAATTGCAAAATGCAGTCCAATTCATGCCCGACCTCTCCCATTGGCTCGATCCACTGTGCGCCGCTCTCCACTCCTCAGATGCATAGATTTCATTGATTCAAATCTATCCTTAATTTATTTTCGGGGACGCAGTCAATGGGGTTGTTGGCCGGCTCGTACCTCGGCGAGAGAGAAAGCTGCGCACAGTCCAAGAGGAAGGCGTCCAGAAGTCCGTTGATGGTCGGCGCCGTCGCAGCGATTGCGCCCGGCGTTAATGACGTCACTGGCACCGCTGACGACAACGGCGCTGTGTCGGGTCTGCCCCTGGGGCCCACTCGCCTCCAAGCGATCAGGTTCCGGCTCCGTCGGGGGCAGTCGCGTCCTTTTGGTATGAGACCCGCGCATTTTTCCGGCAGCTCCAACGACTTGACCGATAGACGAGGCACCGCTTTCTTGTCGCTTTCTGAGGAGGTTTCTGAATCTGCAACAAGCAGGACCGCCTCATAGTCAAAAGGTAGTTCCAAAAAAATATATAGTATGATATTTGTTTGCAAAACACGGAGAGTGAGAGGTGGCAAATTTTAAAAGTTTCAACATGTTTCCAGTCCAGTTTCACCGATGCTTGATTGGATTCCTCCTGGGAAGAGACGAAGGGGACGCGGGGGGACGCCCAGTGAAAGAGTGGCGACAAGGGCTTTTAAAAGGAATGAGGGAGTGCCAACTCCCTGAAGAGTTTTGGGAGGATAGGGGACTTTGGCGGCTGGGTGTCGCAGAGCACCAGAGAGCGCTGTAAAAGCGACTTTTACATAAATTTAACATGGACCATTGTATGCGCCTGTCTTCTTCCACGTTGGTACATATTCAGAAAATTTTGAATTAATATTAACTTATTCCCCCTCTTCCACTTAAAGTTTGATGGAATCATGATTGGACTAAATTTTGAAATTGGCTCATTCATACAAGCATCTATCTGCATGAAAAACTGATGGCATACGTGTTGTGTCTAAAATGAGGTAAAATTATTGGTTCTTCATTGCAAAATTTAGTATAATAAAGAACATTCTGTATGAACAACCCTATTTCATGCATATACTTTTAAAAATGTATGTATGGGTTGTTTACGACATTATGAACGTACTTTTAAAAGTTGATCCCTTAAGTTTTCAATTTTCCAAAAATGTACCCAAACCCAACCCTTAACAAAAGTTAAGGGTTGGGTTTTCAATTTTTTAAGTTTTTCAAGTTAAGTTTTCAATTTTCCAAAAATGCACCCAAACCCAACCCTTCACAAAAGTAATGCGTGGTATAAATTATCCCAAATATCAAACCCAATACTCTGCACGGTGGTCTAACTTTTGTTTCTTGACTTTATATTTTTATCGTGCGAGAGGAGGTCCCGGTATAGCAAAGATTGGGGATTACTGTAAGTTGAAAGGGTACGGTAAGGGGGAGTATTTGGCTACCGCACGTAAGACCACCGAGCACTGGGTGTTGTGGAACCCGCAATTAAGCCAGACTTCACTTTTGATCTCAACTTCCCGAGATCCGCGTCAGAATGTGGTGAATGGTGAATGACAACCAGCCCTGAGACCATGGTCGTTGTTGCCACATAGTGTTGAAGACTTTAATAGTAAAGTGATGGAGGAAAACTCATGGCAACTACAGGATTGATTTCGGATGAAAGTCAATGTTCTTTTCAGTAGGGTACGGTGCCTTTATGGGGAGTATGTATATCTGTGGTGGTACCTCGGATAAATGGGCTGAAAAACTGATAGGATAAAAGTATGAGGGGGTGTCTGGGCAGCACCCCAAATTTTTTTTTCATATCAACGTGTTACACAATGCAATTTTTTATTTTTTTTTCTCTTGTAGCAAAATATTGCGATACATAATTTTTAAGTACCCTCAAACTGCTTTGATAATCAAGCGTTACAGTGTTCCTGTGTGTAGGTAAGTGTAGGTCGCTTTTACGGAGCGCTATAGGGCGCTCTGCGACGCCTACCCGCCACAGGAATCTGTCATGGTAGAGAGAGATCCTCCGGAGGCTGACATCTCTCCATCTCTTCACGGATGCCCTCTACACACCGTTTGGCAGGAAGTGTTACTCTTCCTGGGTTTGAAGGTAAACTCTCGGTAGGTGAGTTAGCACATATAGCGCTGAGTGTTCGCTTGCCGTTAATTAATGAGGTGCTAGAAAGAATTATCATTTCTAGCTCGTTTGACAACGGCGCGAGCATGAGAATTTGAGTGGAATTTGGACGAAAGATTTATCCTGCTCGAACAAACCCCGGGAGACGCGCTAGTGCCACGATGTTGGCAACAATGCAACTCAAACCATTAATTAAAATCCCTGCGCATCTCATTTTCGACCTATCTCGGCCGCTTATCGTGCAAATACTCCAAAACTCATTCTGCCATGGTAATAATATGTTTCTTTCTTGGTAGCAGATTTGAAAGCAGCTACTTCTGGAATGGGCCTCAAATTTCTCAGATTTTTTCAGAATACTTAAGAATTGACCCGAAATAAATCATAAATGTCATTTGGACTTTCTTTCGCCATACAAGTATATGTATGCTTTTTGAAATAACGTAGAACATGCAAAATCTGAGGAATTCCCGTCGGCGCTTAAGGTGTTTTGAACCACCGCTCTCCTTTCGTCAATAATCGCTGAGACTCCGCCCAAGTCTCGGCCCAGCGCATTTGTCTAAATTCTAAATGGCTCCTGGTAAAAAACTAGATTTAAAAATTCGATTTACCGTAACTGGACGTGCTGGCAGATTGTGGCCTCGGGGACATGAGCACGGCCATTAGCGGCTGGATTTGGGCACTTAGATTCCTTTGCATCGTCTCAGGTACCCTGCAAACAACGTCGTAACTGCAGTCTCCGACTCAGGACTCAGGTAGAGAGAACATGTAAATTGTTTATTTAGCATCAGCATCGTAATTAATCTCCGACATTGTCTGAACCTCGGCATTAGTTCCTCGATTATGGAGTCGTTATCGAATGGCCTCCATCGATAATGGATCACTCAGACTCTTGAAAACCACGACAAGAAAAAATACTCTTGATTTAATCAGATTTTTGCTTGAATCAAAAGGAAATCCACTTAAATTAAGAGGCTTGGTTCTTCATTTAAGCAAAAATCCGATTGAATTAAGAGTATTTTTCTTGTCATTGTTTTCAAGAGTCTGGACTCTAGATCCAGGCGACTTTTTTTTTCCAGTGCGATTTTTGCATTGAAAATTACTGAAATCGACTCATACCTGTGATATTAAACGTTTTTATTTTACATGGGCACGGGGAATTTGAATTGCCCGGTCAAAATAAAAAAAAACGCAATACTCTACGTGAGTCAAATCGGGCATTACAATAAAGCCGTGTTAAGGAAAAACGCCGTATGAGCCTTCAGGTAATGCCAAATTTCCTTCGATGAAATATGAGATTCCTGAAAAACTTGTGGATATTTTACTCCTAATGTTTTGCAAAAATATCCACAGAAATTTCAAGAAGATATTTTGATTAGTTTTTTTTCAAAGAAAATAAAACATTAGCTTTTTTTACTTCAGCCATCGATATTCAGAATGTCTCGAAACTAGTGAAATAGACTTTCATCTCAAGAATTTTAGTCCAACTATTGTGTAAAATATTGCTGATTTTTCAATGGAATCAGGAGATAAATCAAATATATTTTCAGTTACAAAAGCCAAACAGCTCCCTAATATGAAAATCATTTGCAAGTAATTATTTCGCAACGTAAAATTGAAATTACATTCTTCCTTGTGAAAAACGGACATATTATCGTAACCCTTTACGCCATGGTGTAACTTATTCACGACAAAATTTTGTTTTTGGTCTTTTTAAAAATGAATTACTCCCCCGTAGCATGACGTTACAATTTTTATCAATTTTTAATCTTTAAAAAACGATTACCAAAAGTTTGAAATTTCCAGGAAAGCAATGTGGGACCTCGTGTTTCTACGAAACATACGACATAGATTTGTCTGTTTAAGGATCCGTGGGCTGATTATTGAATTGTATAGACAAATCGATGGACAAAGAAAACATAGGGAGTATGGAGCGATCCTATTGGTTGAAATGGTTGGTTCCTATACACTAAGGGAGAAAATAATGGACTAACTATATAGGGTCTCTCGTGGATTACCGTTAGTTCGTCTATTACCTACCCTCTTGGTCCATAGCAAACTCCCGCTCCCACCACTAAGATCCGCCGTTCATGTCCTGTTTATCTTTTTTGTCCATAGCTTTGTCGACCAATTTCAACAATCAGCCCACTGAGCCCCAAAAATAAATCATGCCATAGAGGGTTAGCGCCATCAGGTTCCCTCGCCTTACCCTCCAATGACGGGTAGTTGGACAGGCTCTTTCCTGAGTTTTTCTTTGGGCGCTTTCAGCCTTTTTCGTTTAGGTTTAGGGGAGGTTTTCTTCGGGCGGAGGGTTGGCTGCGAGAAATTCTGCTTGTAAGCTTGCTGGTCCCGAGGACGCTCGGAGAGACTCATCCTGCAGACGCGCACCTCCAGCGGCGGGTACAGGATCTGCACCACGTCCGGGTTCGAGGACAGGCTGCTCAGCTTTGGGCTGGGGTTCATGTCATCCGCCGGTGGCAGCCATCGGGCGATCGCGTTTTGTCGCCTGAAAATAAAACCCATTCCAACAAAACTCGTCATAAGCACGGAAATAAGTTTTACGTCGAAGACGGGTAGGTCATAAAGCGTTAGCTAAGCTTTTTTGGGTCCCAGACCTTTCAGCTTAGAGCTGCGACGAAAGATGGGGTTGGTGTTGGACGCAGATAGAATGGGTCAGTCGCGTTGGTCTTAGACTCTTGTTTTGGTGTTTTATTCTTGTATATTAGCTAAAAATAATAAGATCAGTCCAACCAGCAACTTTCTACGATCAACATTAAACGAGGTATGGCGCTTCGAAAAACTCGTGTTGCGCAGGGCCGGATTTTCCTACTTGCCGCCCATGGGCCGGATTTTCCTACTTGCCGCCCATGGGCCGCCTGTATTTTGCCGCCCCTTCTCATTCGTTTGAAACATCAATAAAAACCATCAAGTGAACGTGCCAACGGGGAAGGGGTGCATAAGACGCGTTTACTCGTGTTGAACACATTTTTGGGAAAGCCCTGTCAACACTGCGAGCAAAAGGGCACGGAACTTTGAGCGAAAGTCAAGTTTCGTAAACCTATCTCTAATGAACAAGGCCTTCCATTCATAAGAAATGAACGACAAAATAATTATGAAAGAACAAACACAAAAGTTGGTTTAATGATTTTAACTTCCGCCGCCGCGCCGCGCCGCGCAGACTGAGTTCGCCCTTGAAATTTCAAACGGCCTCATAAATTTCAATTTTTTTGAAAAATTGATTTATTGGTCCCTTAATTCCTTTTCTTCACTCATGTTCCTAAAGGAGGGGTGGCGATTTGGGCCATTTCCGGCCCCACCTAATCCGGGACTTTTTTTGCTGTGAGTCGTTACGTATAAGTGTCAAGAGAAAGCATGCCAAGTTTCAGGCCGATCGGCCCAATATTNCAGTAGGTAAAATTCTTCTCTAAGATTAGAATAAATAGTATGTACCTAAGTACCTTTCTTTTCTATTGCTCTAAACTTTATTTGCATTTAAATGGTAAATTTCAAGAATTATAGAGGAAGAGCCCAGTACTCAGTGCATTGTATGTTGTATGTAACGTTGGAGTACATATTTCTGCTGTTTTTTATTTTTTTTGGTTTTTTCTACCGTTTTTTTTTTATATTTGTTTTTTTTTTTACTGAAAATCATTTTCTTCACAGCGAATGCATGAAGTTTAGAGCCAAAAGAATACGAACAACGAAAAGTAAGGAAGGAATTTTATGATCATTTTGTCTTAGTTGACCGACAAAAATCTACAGTACCAAAAATCTATGGCACGAATGCGGACAAAACAAACAACGACGGTTGAATCATTTCGATTTTAGCCGCCATTTTGTTGCGTGACGGCAAGAGGGCACGAGGTACGACTCCCTAATACTCCCTATGCATATTCATCAGCAGTTGGGCAGAAAAAATTACTAGAATCAAAAAATTACTGAAAATCAAGCTTAGTTTTTAATTTTTCACGATTTCATTGAAATTTCATGAAATTTCAAGTGAAATTTCATGAAATTTCAAGTGAAATTTCAAGTGAAATTTCAAAATCCTAATTTTTCATGAAATTTTCCATCTCAGCGCGCAGACCGCACCGTGTTTGGCGCAATGCGTGAAGTATTCACGCAGTCTTGTAGGCGCTATCCGTTTCACGCCGACCACAATAACCGCATACTGTGTTTGATGCAATGCGTGAAGTATTCGTGCAGTCTTGTAGGCGCTAATATGTGTTACATGCCGACTGCCGCGCCGAGGGCTTCTCTTTTTCATCTCAAGTCCTCGTCATCATTTCTCTCTAAGTCGCGCCGTTCCAGGCCAAATTGTGTGTTTGGTTTCTCTCTTAGCTCGACTAATTATAGGTGCTGTCTCTTGTATCACTGAAAGACTACAAAATTATAACTTTCTACACTCTCAGGAAATGAGAAATTTTGTAGCCTTTTCTCGTTTGTAATTTTTTTTTTCTAAATCCGATTTTTTTTTATACCTACATTTAAAAAAAAAATGCAAAACTTGCCGCCCCCTAGATTTGCCGCCATGGGCCGCGGCCCATGTGGCCACCCCCTTAATCCGGCCCTGGTGTTGTGACGTCATACACCGCGATAGTGACACTCTTGGTTTCTGCCACCTTGGTTTTATCCGTATTTTAAGGTGAGCAACCATTAAATATGTGCGTATTAGTGGTTGATGAATCAAGGGTGGAAAAAACCAAGGGGATGACGTCAAAAAATGAGTTTTTCAAAGCGCGATATATCGATTAATATTGAACGCAGAGAGTTGTTCTTTGGACAGCTCTTAATATTTCTAGCTTATCTACAAGGATCAAGCATCAAAACACGATTCTGTGCCTAGCGCAACTGACGAATTCTTGCGTCTCCCACGCTAAGCATTTTTTTCGTAGGTCATTACAGATAATTAGAAAAACTCATCTCGCGTGCTGTTAATAAATGAAGAAATAGAACGCACGCCAAAACACGCATTGTTTATGTGTTAGAATATATTCTTGATAAGTACAAGGATGCATTACGGGATAACCTATTCTATTTCCAGCTAGACTTGCGTGACAGTGCGTGCTTTGAAGTACTCTCAACTTATTTCTTTATTAAAGCTAAAATAAAATAAATAAGATAATAAAAAATATGTTTGAATCATCTTAAGGCTTTCTCTGTTATTTTTTGGAAAAGAGGGGCTCATTAGGGCAGTCTCATACGTAATTCAAAAAGGAGGTGTAAGGTTGTTTCACGGGTGTCTTACAAAGGAAAATGAGGGGTCTTTATAAGCTAAAATGCCTTAAATGATGCTTGAACGACCTCCTATCAAAATGCGAGCCAATTAGAGTTAATTTATAGTTGAAAATCAAACCTGAGTTTAGGCTGAATTTTGATGTTGTCAAGCGGACAAGACCTTGAAAGGCTGGTCGCAAGGTCTACAGTAAGACACGCCGGATGGAAGTAGTGACCGCAGCGAAGGCCCAGGGCAAATTCCGACACCTGAAAATAAAAAAAAACCAATGTTGAACTTAACGAGTAGGCAATTTATTATACATGATAATACTTGAGCGTATCCTCGTCAGCTGAAGGCGCATTTTTCTGCACCATGTGTTTCCTACTCTTTCAGCTCCTCTATATGTATCATTGTTTTTCCACCAGAAAAATAATAAGCATTAAAGAATTTTGATTCTGGAATCTACCATCGGTATACCGCCGTTGCTTTTCCATTCCACATGCGCTATGGAGAGTTTAGTGCGTTGTAGAAGCTCACTTTTTTGTCCTTAAAATTAAGATTGTATCGAGAATATTTTATTCCCTCTGTTCCTGGCACTGATGAGCCTGCTGATCTCGATGGACCATCAAGCAGACTCAGACCTGAGTATGCTCTTTTAACGAAAGCGCAGTGTTATGACGCATGTCAATGGTAAAAAAAAAAAACGTGTATCTCCATTGTAACTTTTAACAATCTCCGATTATGTATAATTTTTTCCGAAAGGAAGTACCAAAAGAATATACACGACTGCCCGCTAGCAACAATCGACGGTGAAACTTTCAAACCACGTTCGCAGTGCTTTATAATATCCGCGCCTATTTTATTTTTTTGGAAAAGAACAAATCACCACTATTCCGTAAAGTTTTCACAGAATTTTCTTTGCGCATAGAAGAAAAACCACGAAAATGTTGAAGAATTGACGTTTGATGATTTTTTATTAAAGAAATGAAGCGGATAGGCAGTCTGCAACGTCCCAAACCGAGATAAATGGTTTGGGAACTTCACCATCGCACTGCTGCCGATGCATATCAATTAAATTGTTTGAAGTTTTGCTTATTTCTTATACCTACAGATATGTGCGTTTATGGAAGAGTCAGAGATGGTGGTTCCTTACTGCAAAATGTAATCCAGTCAAGAAAGCAGAACTAGGTGGTGCACGCTCTTCTACTTTAATGTTTAATAAGCTCATTTATTCTGAACGAATAACATTGGATTACATTTCGCAATAAGGAAACCTTATTTCTGTCCCTGTAAACAACACACATGCCATGGCTTCCCTATGCAGATATGTGATTTTATTAGAGAGCCAGAGATGGTGGTTCCTTATTGCAAGGTGTAATCCAATCAAGAAAGTAATAGTGAACGCCCTCCTACTTTAATATTTTGATATGTAATTTATTTGTAATATATTAATACTTTTTATACTTTTTATACCTTAAAATGTCAAGGACCTCTTTTATAAACCCGGTATTTTTGGGCTAAATAAAATACTATCTATTCTATTCTATTCAATTCTATTCTAATCTATTCTAAGTTTTGCTTCTCCCGTCATGGTGGTAGATACCATCACTGTTTCCGCATTGAGCCCTCCGTGCATACTACGAATGTGAACATCTGGATTTTCAAAAAATATCAGCTACGACCCTTACGCTCTAAGCTAGCGATTTGACTGGGGGAGTGCCTCGAGCCCCCCGATCAATTTGGCGAGGAATCCAATCGCAAAGCGTAATATATCCAAGGCATTCAATCACAAGCTCAAGACGCTCCCGGACCAGCGAAGCAAACGGATTCAATTACGGGGCCAGGGCGAAATTATTAGTGACGCATGTGGTCGCCGAAATCAGTGGCGCTCGCGCTCCGATCCAATTTGTTCGGACGTCCCCCGTCCTGTTTCGGACGATCTACCCTCCGCATTCATAATTAATATAACCCGTATATTCATAATGGCATAAATTTCCCTCGATTGAGTCCCCAGTCCACCCCAGGGAGGATCTTGGCCGGGCTCGCACCTCTTCTCCTTCTTTCCGCGAGGCCTTGCACCTGTGCTGTGCGTGCGCCGAGGAAGGGTTGGAAGGTCAACCAGGAAGATGTTTCTAAGTGACCGGTCGAGATCGCCGCCCATTGTCCACCTAATATATTGTGCTTATTTCCGATTGTTCCCGCGGGATGATACATTGCCCGGGGGTCGGAGGATCCCTACCCGCTGACCGCTTCCCGTTGCCAAATCCACCCAACTCGACGTGCACGCAATCGCGCGGATAGGCGCTTTTGCGGGTGCGCAACGGTGGACGGTTGATTCGCGAACTTAACGAATTATTTATTGACCCACTGGTTTCCTGATTTTTTGTCCCCCTTTGCGCTGATTAGCCGTCCGCGTATGCGCTGCATAAATATTTATCCGTTTTCCTTCCGCCGTCCTGAATTATGACCGAATAATATCTTCGCCCGTGTTCGAGCTCGGTCGTTTGAATAGCGGCGCTGGTAATGTGGGGCACTCGCAGTGAAATGAACTGAATTGATTCCGGCTCGGGCCGGGGAAATGACTCGGTTTCGGGGAGACCGACGCAACGGCTGCCATGCGAGTGAATGATCGAATGAAAAGTGCAACTCTTTCTTCAGAGCGCGAGTCCTTTTCTATGGAACCGTTGATGTGAGTTTTGGACGCGATGCGTTCGTATGAAAGACACGGAAAAAATGAATATTCGATTTTGAACTGGGTCAGAGGATTCACGTGTCTCTCCTGACTGGAAGTTCAAATTTGAGGGGGCAACGAGACAAGGTCGGAACCAGAAAAAAATTCGAGAATGTCCCGCGGCGACTGCAAATCTGGCCTCACAGTCATGCCGCAATCACGCGTTGAATTTAGCAGCTGAATGTGGAAGTCAACAGTCATCGCCCAACGGCTGAAATTTCGCAAATTCGAGCTATTTTCATCCAGATGTACATCAAATCTACTCAAATAGTTCAGACAATCACAGTCAAAATGCTCAACTCGAACCTGACGATTTTGGTACTAACTATATTTTTCTGTTTGAGTCTTTATAACTGATAATAATTCTATAAAATTCTAAAACATACATTTTCTAGGATTCAAGTCTTGTGGGCAATGATTAGCGAAAACAAAACTAAATGATAATTTTAAATTAAGTGAGATAGAGGTAGTTTTAAGCTTGTCTGGGAGCAATTTTCTTCCGGGCAAAGATCTTATGTTCGCAGGAGGTATTTAGTAGTGTGCAAAAAATGGCACTGAAGTTTGTTCTCTTCGTTGAGTCTTATATATGTAAAAGGCTGCAACTTCTAATTTTTTTCCGTTTAAAGTCCATGTCAATCGGCTCTCTCTCTCGCTACACAACATCCTTGAGTTGTGCATAAAAATAGCCGGAGACAGGAATTTTGTGGAGTGGTGCATTGAAAGGTACTTGCCAACTAAGGGGGGGGGGGGCTGAGACACTCTCCTAGCCTCGAGTTAGATCCGGGGGTGGAAAGGAGGCTTCTCAGAAAAATTTTGATATCGGAAATGTTTCTGGAGGAGTTCCTGTTACAGGCAAATCTATTGAAATAACGCTTTAAAAATGACGGAAATGTCAAGCAGTTATTTTGAAAAATCCCTTGCATTTACTGAAGGGGCTGAGTTGAATTCGAAGCTGCAGCTCTTATTTTCGAAAAACTTGTCTTGCAGAAAAAAATGTCAAACTCTTACCATAAAGCTTAACGGTAACCTTCTTTTTTTCTAATCAAGCCTCCACAATTGATAACACTGGGAAAAAGTGGCTTGATTAAGTATTTATAAAGAGCAAAACCCGCCAAAGTGTTGTCCTCTTGAATTACACAAAAAATCATGTATCAAGTGGAAAAGATGCAAACATTAAGAAAGAAATCGATTTTATGAAGGAGAAACTTGCTTGAGTCAGGCATTTTTATACTTGGTTCAAGAGAATATCTCCCTCAGGAAAAATTCAAGAATAAATTGTATTTTTGCTTAAATCAAGTTACTTCTTTTCCAGTGATGCATCAATATCAATGTCATGAAATTAGTAATGAATTTTCCTGGTACTAATAAAGTCATAAGAGGGAACAATTTTTTTCTACCGCTCATGCATAAAACGCCACTGAATCTACTCGTTCAAGTACTTCAAGTCTAAGATCGGCAATTTAGCATTAACATAAAGAGAAGCCGTAGGACTGTAAATGCTGACTTCTTCAGTTTCCAGTGCACTTCCGAGATGCATGATAATTTACCGGAAGTGTTGATTTTGAGCACCGCGAGGCACCGAGAAAAACAATTAAGGTGAGCGAAAACTAACGGGAAGCACCTGCAAACGATCACCATCAAGCTCTGGCCAAAAAATAAACAAAAAATTAACCATCACGAAATAGCTCGGGGATGGCGAGAGGTTGGCGTCAAACTTGATCGCGTGGAGGAAGCCGGCACGAAAAACTCGGGATTAATCCAGCCGAAAATAGGAGAAAATTAACGCCATCGAACACGTGAGAAAATCAAACACGTGAAAAGTTCGGCGGAAAGAGGCACACTTATCGAGAGCTTATCGAGACCATGTGAAAAACTGGATAATAAGGATATGATACTGTTTTAGTGCTCGAGGCGCGTTCTCTCGCGGAGGGGATGGTATGATAAGAGGGTACGAAAAGGGGTAAGGGAGGGGGGAGGAGGATCAAACGGTACCAACATGGGCACTTGACACGCTATTAATACCCGTTGCACGACGCTGCAATTCAAGCATACGCCAATGCTGGTGTATTAAATTTTAAGTGATTTAAAGACTTGAAGCCACTTTTTTCCGACCCCCGGCCCCCCTCCGTTTGTTTCTCTCACGTGATACTCGAGATAGATTTATCGTTTATCTAATGTGACACGCAATATCGATACTTGGTGCAAATTGTGTGTTATACCGAAGATTTGCGTAAATACAGGAATTCGATCAATTTTTTCCGGGTTGACTAAAACCAAAAATCATTTAACTCCATTTCAATTAAACCGGATGGGTCATTCACGTATTACGCAAGGCATTTTGACCAACTTTTAACTCTTTCCTCCCCCAGGTAAGGCATCCATGAAACAACATTTTTCAGTCCCTTATACCCTCTTGAATTACGCAAGACTGGCCTGGCACCCCCTTTTTTCAAAAAAATGGAGAAAGTCTGAAAAATAGCTGCTAATTTTCTAAAATTAAAAAAAAGAAATAATTAAAAAGGAGGCTTAAAGTAAGACTGGGATAGCCCCCTTCCCTTCCTTTTTATTACCTTACGTAATATTTGAGCGACCCCGAGTTTAACAGAAACCACCGAGATGACATCCACCAAGTCATATTTTGAGAAATAAGCAAGCTAGAAACAGTTTTGCATTTAACTAGTTGTAACTTGTCTCTTGTCAGAAATTCAAATTTACCTAGCAATTAATTTAAATTTCCGCGAGTTGATTTGGTCTTTGTCAACCGGATTGACAGAATTGCGAACCAAACAAGAAAAACGCGCTGCTGAAGTCAAAAACTGAACTCAGCTGCGAGCAGGGCCGGATTAAGGGGATGGCCACATGGGCCGCGGCCCATGGCGGCAAACCTATAGGGGGCGGCAAATTTTGCACTTTGTTTAAATGTACAGGTATAGAAAAAATCGGATTTAGAAAAAAAAAATTACATACGAGAATAGACCACACAATCTCTCATTTCCTGAGAGTAAAGTAATTTCTAATTTTGTCGTCTTTCAGTGATACAAGAGACAGCACCTTTAATTAGTCGAGTTAAGAGAGAAACCGAACACGCAATTTGGCCTGGAACGGCGCGACTTAGGGAGAAATGATGACGAGGACTTGAGATGAAAAGGAGAAGCCCTCGGCGCAGCGATCGGCATGTGACACATATTAGCGCCTACAAGACTGCACGAATACTTCACGCATTGCGGCAAACACAGTGCGATCAGCGTGAAACACATAGTGCTTACAAGACCGCGTGAATACTTCGTGCATTGCGTTAAACACAGTGCATTCAGCAGCGGTCGGCGTGAAACTCATAGCGCCTACAAGCCTGTCGGAATACTTCACGCATTGCGCCAAGCACTGTGCGGTCTGCGCGGCGCGGCGGCGGAAGTTAAAATCATTGAACCACATTTATGTTTGTTCTTTCATAATTTTGTCGTTCATTTCTTATGAATGGAAGGTTTTGTTCATTAGAGATAGGTTTACGAAACTTGACTTTCGCTCAAAGTTCCGTGAACTTTTGCCAGTAGTGTTGACAGGGCTTTCCCAAAAAATGTATTAAACACGAGTAAATGCGACTTATGCATCCCTCCCCCGCTGGCACGTTCATTTGATAGTTTTTATTATGTTTCAAAGCGAATGAGAAGGGAGCGGCAAAATACAGGCCGCCCATGGGCGGCAAGTAGGTAAATCCGGCCCTGGATGCTAGATGAATTTTGGACAACGTTTGCATCCGTCCACTTTTCGCCCCACCTCGGGAGGTGGGTTGAAAATTTTGGATGTGGTCGTGGTCGTCAACGCTGCTAGCATGAAAATCAAATGTCGTAGCCACGCCGTTAACAGGAGGGATTTGCGTTTTGTTGTAACGGAGGATGGCAGTAAGTGAAAACTTTAACCAATTTCCCTCGCGAAAATTCGCCTTGTGATATGGTACACACTTAGAATTATGGGTATTTTGGAATATTTTGGGAAGGCAATTTCATCTATCATGCCAAAGAATAAATTTAGAGCTCTGCATGATCTTTAGTGATATCCGCACTCAAGAATGTAAAACTAACTTTTAAAAGCTCACTGGAAAAAAAACACATTGGATCTAGAGTCCAGACTCTTGAAAACAGTGACAAGAAAAAATACTCTTGATTCAATCGGATTTTTGCTTGGATCAAAACGAAATACGCTTAAATTAAGAGGCTTGGTTCTTGATTTAAGCTACTTCAAGAGCTACTTTTCAAGAATCAAGAGTACGTTTTCTTGTCGATGTTTTTAAGAGTCTGGACTTTAGACCCAATATTTTTTTTTTCCCAGTGCTTTGTAACTGTTTCTTTTTTTTCATTTCTTTACTACACATACAGCTCTTTGATAATGCAACATATTTTTGCTCTTCATCGGTGGTGACCATCTTACTAATCGTGTTATCGGTCATACCGTGAAAGAGTAGGAAAATAATCTACTTCGAATAAAAAATAAACGCGTTTTTATTTTACCTCAAACGGTAGAGTGCAGCTTCCACAAAACTGTTTCCTTTGAAGGAAACTCCGAGTCACCTGTATTCGTGTTTGGCACCGCAAAAGTTCTCCTAACTCCTCGCTTCCATGAAAAAGAAAAGAAAAGAGGAACATCAACATTTTCAGATTGTAAAGCTTAATGCGTATGAAATCAAAATATAGTATCAGAGAGGCGTATGTTCCAATTTAGTGTATTTTTCTTTTATTACTGTTGATTTTACGTATAGGTATAAATCTTTGGTCCGTTGAAATGTATTTGTTAGTAATAAAATTGATGCTAAAATAGTATTCAAATTAAAATTTTCGAGAGAAAATGTTGTGAAGTTACTGTTGCGGCAAATTCAAAAGTATTTTTGACGATTTTTTTTAAAAAATGGTTAAACATAATCATGACAATAATTCGATAGAGTCTGCAGGTAATTTCCCATTGATCTTCATTCAAGTATTTTTACAGAAACGTCTGACGTACACGTACAGCAACTTTGTAAACATTTGTTAAAAATACTTTCGTGATAGCATGGCCATTAAAATGTTTCAAAATAACTATAAAACATTTTCAAAATAATATTGTCCTCAAGAACGTTCTGAAAATATCTTAAAAATATCGCTGATTTGCAGAACATGTGGGGATGTTGAGGGTGATTTACTTATTAGGATTCAGCATCAGCCTGGTCAACACAGCATATTCTATCAATTAGAGTTGGACAAAAAGTCGGAGTGGGTTCGAGATAGGATTTTGGCAAAACGCGATTTCATGTAAACAGAGCACTCGTTATTGACACGGCTGCACAAAAACGAATGACAATCACTCGAAAACGCGGCGAGGGCGCGAGGCGTAAAGTCCAACCCTCAGTCAAAAAGAGTAAACGCGGACACAACTATACACAACCACCCAACGCGACAAGAAAAAACAAAACAGGGATGGTATCCATCGTGTCGACGAGGCGACGCTATTGGCAGCCCGCTCGCGAGATGAATAGCCGAAACTTTCGCCGATGCCTCATTCCGATTCATTTTCGTTCGGGAGCTGATAATTATAAACCGCAGCGATAACAGTAGTGAACAAGGCTGTTTATTTATTAATGAGGGTGAAATATTGCAGCGGAACGGGTGTTAAAGCCAGCCAGGACTGGGGAAGGGGGATGAGGCCGTAAGACGGGGGAGGGAATTATGATCGCATGACCTCCATGATTGATGAGTAATTTCCTGATGCAGAGTTCGGTATCACTGCGTGATGGCTAATCTGGTGCCGACCAAGTTCTGAACAACTTTCTAGACTTAGATTACACCAGGAAATTAAACTGTAGACTCTTTCGCCGCGCGCCACTACCAACTACTCCGACTTCATTATCATAAACTTAAAAGCCCAGTTTTTCGATTTTCCCTCGCCGCCGCCGCCGCCACGCCGCGACCCGACTTCATTCACAAGTGATAAATTGGGTTAATTGAAACTGGAACATCTGTGCTTCCTTTGCGGATGAAGTTTCCTCCGGAATGCCTGAGTTTTTGATCCGGGGCTTGATAGTGGCGCTCCGATGGCCAAGTGCGGTTAAAAGCTACCCCTTCTTTTCCTAACCCCTCCGTGCCACTTTTTCGCCGGCTCAGCACGCTGCCTTGCTAAGATAAAACGTCGTATGAGCATTCCAATGTTGCCAAATTTGCTATCAGAAAATATTCACTTTTTAAGGAAAGTTATGAATCTTCATCTTTGAAATTTTCAGACTATTTAGATCAAATTTCGAACAAAAACCTCCGAAAAATCGAAGAAAAAATATTCATAAACATTCTCGAAAATTCGTGATTTGTGGAAGGAAATTTGGCAACGCCTAAAGGCTCATACGGCGTTCTTCCGTAGAACGGCAGCACGGGTCTTGGTTTTATTTTCCGCCAAGTTTGCACAACTTTTTCAAACGCAACTTGCACCCAATGTTTGACAACTTGGAAGCTTCGCGATCTCATCCCGTGCATGTTGAAGACCATTGCCCTCCTTTGCGTGTGGACAAGCGCCCAAGGAGTGAAGTTGGATCCATCCTTTAGCAGTTTTTCTTCGCTCTTGCCTGCGCAATGATCGACCAAGAGGTGTAATTTTCTTTTCTCTGGCATCAACTTTTTCGTCAGGTCGAAAAACTGAGAGACGGGTCGTTTGCCTCTGTTCCGCGGATATTCAGCACACGTTTTCTTTTTAGTCGCTAAAATGTAACACCTCGTTGATTTTCGGGAGGTCTCTAAGACTTAATAAAGAAATTCACGTACTAACACTCCACAAGACTGCATGTACTGTTTTTTTCTTTCTTTCTTGGAAAAAAGAACAATTTGGAACAGTCGGGAATCAATATTATAAATGTAGTAGGAATGTCGCAGCTTTTAGAAGTCCTTCACCCAAGTCATCTTTGCTCAATCACGGAAGCAAAAACCACATCCGACAGAGGAAAGGAGTCTTTTTTAAAAGGGAGAAGTCGTGTGGATCAAGACCACCTCTTAACAAGGAACCTGGAGCCAACGGTATTATCGGTGACTAAAGGGGATGAGGTAGTTTTCACGTCCTTTTTCCACAGTGATTAGAGACACCTCCGACTCACCAGACGGTGAAACGGGCGCCTGGGGAAAAATGACGTCCACCATGGCCAAGGGAGACAATTAATGTCACGTTTGTATCGAGATTGACTGGTATGTCAGTTGGAATAGGAAGAGGATGTAGAGACGCATCTGAGGTATGGGCTGACTCCATGTCCATTCGTATGTATGGGTGATTTCACGATAACAGGACGTCTCTGTATACGTCTGTATACGGGAGAGTATTGCCATCTCAGTCCTTTTACTACAGAAAAAGTGTGCCACTCCATGATTGATCGGCTATCATGGAGCCCTCAAAGTTGGCCCAATGTAAACAAACCCCAACCCCTCGGCTCCTAGTTTGGTTCGATGTAAACAAACAAGATGGCGAAAAATGTCTACAGTTCTAAGTTAAGTTCTTCAGTTAGGTTCTAGACGTGATTTTCGTTGTAATAAAAATTTTTTTAAATCCAACTTCTGATTTGAGTTCGAATCGAACTCTGATGGATATTTTTGCCGAAAATTAACCTTTGAGTGTGATTATAATTCATTTCTTAGCTGATAATAAGTGTTCCTTTGGGTCAGGTTTGTTTACAGTGCGGGCCAACTTTGGAGCTCCATGACAGCCTAAAACTGATGAACCAATCAGAGAGCGGCACAGAGAAGGCAATACTCTTCCGCACATGGGTACTGTAGAAAGGATGACGTCTAAGGCCACGGCCATGAAATGTGCTGATCGCGAAACTGTCTAGGAATTCCGATATCGATTGCATCCGGATGCGCCGGAGGTTCGTTTAACGGCCGGGGACCGATTGAGTTATCCAATTACCCAGGCGTCCCTGGGACGTCTCGTAAAAAAGAGGAACTCGGCCGCGAACACCTTATTACCCCTACGTTTTGCATGCGAAAAAAATGCACACAAAAACTGTAAAAAAAGAAAGAGAGCCAAAACAAAGTTGGAGACACGCTCGCGACGCACGCTCGCCGATAGTAACGCAGCGCACGCGAAGTCTTCCTCGCGCAGTGGTGCCAAATTTAACAACATCCACTGGATAATCTGCTTTGCTAAGGAGAAATATCATAGGAATATTCAATTTTGCGACATTTCTTCAAACAAAAAAAAACGATTCCCATTGCGGGAAGTTTGAAAATTAACTCCTAAACGAGATTTTTACAAATAGCACAGATTGAATGGACCGTATTTTGCAACAAAACACTAAAAATTCTGGCTCGGTCAAGGAACATCGTATGTGCAATTAATGAGCCAGACATTTTAGTTCCTAATTACAAAATGAAGTCCAAATGGAAGTTAGATCAGCCTATTAAACTGGACGTTTCCTGGTTTTTTCTCATGTTTTTTCTCCTTCTTCTCTCCATTTCCACTAGAAAACCAGCTGCATTCCAAACTCATTGAGTTTCTTCTGCATGGTTTGTGGAAAGTGCAGAATAGGTTTCAAGTCGTTGTGTTATTCAGTTCTCTGCTAATTTTATGCTGGTATTTATGACTTGAGCCGAACCTAGGCAACAAGAAATGCAGTTAGGCTGGTATTGGATATAACCATCCAATGCCAAATACTTTCCATGAACCATTTTGTTTCGGAGTTGATTTCCAAAATTTCTGTTTCGTGATTAGTTTTCTTCGTGAAATTTTGAAGCGAAAAAATGTGGCGTAGTGCTACAATTCGACGTATTTCTGTCAAACGGACCTAACTGCATTATAACATGAGCCATATTAAGCATAAATTCCTATGGGTCTCGGGGTTCATGTCTCAATGCACATAGTTCCGTTTGGCAGCAATTCATACGTTTTCTAGTAGATAATTTTCTTTAAATTTTCTGAAATATGGGAGAAACCATTGGTTAATTTTCCAAAAAATTTAAGTTCTATCGAAGGAGATTTATAGCAGAGTCTGGAGGCCCACGTGGCGTTCTTCCTTATAGCATGGAAGTTTTTGGCGCTAAGTTTAGCGCATGCCTAAAAGCTTGATTTATGAGAAAATGGCAACATCCTCAACGTTCGGTCCTCGATGCAGCTCGTAAAACATTTAGCGTGACCCTTGCATCGACGAGCGACGTGATTTACCATTCCACCTTCGAGGTTGCCATTTTTCAATGCTTCAAAATTCAGAGATGGACTTTGTTTTGGAAAATGGAACAACTATCTCTCGCTCATTTTAGAAATAACGTAAGTGCCTTTTGCAGATGCGTGTTATCATGGACGAGTTAGAGATTTCGCCGCCGTAAATTCGCATCACCTGTCTCGTAAAAGAAAGCAGCCAAAGTCTTTTTCGGCGACCGTGTGTGTGTGGGTGCCCACGTGTCCCTTTAATGAGATAAAGAACGCTGTATCTGATCAATGAGTACGAGAGAGGTAGACAACAAAACAGCGTATGGACCAAAAAGGAGTTGATTCTTGTTCACCGTTTACCGCCTTGCTCTTGGGGGCTCTCATTAAAAAGCGATTAAGTGGTCTAACCGTTGTGAATTCGCATTACCATTTTCGCTAAATAACGAGCCTGAGCTTGTATT